ATAAGCAATATCCCTTAATACAAGTATTATTTATCGTAATAAATAAGTTAACCAACTTCCCAGTTGCAAAATCTTAAGAATTCAAATGGTATAAAGAAGTTAAGAACTTTGCTTCCTAAAAGCGAAATAATGCAAAATTTTTATATCATTAAAATTATATATAATTAAAACATAATATAAAATATTACAATGAAATAAGCAATAAATCTCATATTTTCAAGAAAAAATAGTCAGCTGTCCAGTATCCAAAGCAATGAATGAAAAACTGATGCCAAAATCACATTTCTAAAGGAATGAAACTAGCATCAGAAAGCAATAACCAATCAAAATTGTGCTTTATGGATGACATACTTTAAAATATACTTTGCCATTAGCTAATAAAGAGAGAGAGAAAAAAAGAGGAAAAGAAAAGGGAATTCTTTCTGTTGTGCCTCGCAACAGACGCAACAATATATGCGCGTCAGAATAAGAAGATTGCGATGTGCGTGTCCAAAAATAAAAAAAAAAAAAAATAAGCAGCATTTTATCTCATATTTTCAAGAATCAGCTGTCCAGTATACGAAGCATTTAATGAAAACCTGTTGCCAAAACCACATTTCTAAAAAAATAAAAATATTTAAAATGATGCGATTTCATCAAAAAAAAAGAAAAGAAAAAAAAGCTAAAATTTAAAAAAATCTGATTCGAATTTTGAAAAATCACTTCGAGGTGCACTGGCTCTTTTCTAGATGTACCTACGTACCAAATTTCGTAGCCCTGGGTCTATTAGCCCTAGTGCAGCACGAACGAAAGTCACACAAGCTCTTTCTTTTATTATATGTAGAGATTGTGTATTTCAAAAGTCTTAGTAATTTTCTATTTGTGCATACATTTTACTTTGTTACCATAAATCAAAAGTTTATTGCCTGTAAAACCGTGAAGGGATATTTGCGCAAGGGGAAGAAACATGTGCTTAAAAATATCTAGGATTAGATGGAAATACACCTGTATTCATTTTTAACGAAACAAGGCTTAACGCATAGTAATAATGCAAGTTAAAAGTTAGTTCAGTGCATTAGAAATACCTAAACAATTAAAAATGCAAATTCAAGCTTCGGATGATTACTTTTCTCTAAAATATGTTGTGCTGAAAAATACTGTACTTGAAATCTTATGCTTCTGCTCAACAGTTATGCCGTATATGTCTTTTCTCGCAGCCTTATCTATTGACCAAATTAATCGTCTCAAACTTTGTACTTTTACATCAACGTATATATTGTAAAATAATCTTCAAAACTACATTTTTGGAGTGAAACTTCTATACCTTCAGTAACTCCGTTTTAAAGCATTGTGAAATCTGTAATTCCTCGAAGCGCGGCGATTGGACAAACGGGGAATTTGTGAGTGCAATGAAGGTCCCTTGGCTTCGCTACAGTGAGTAAACTCACACTGAGCAGTTTTTTTAGGTACGTTACGAAACATGTAATGACTCGAAACGAGACTGATGGGTACATTTGATACACGTCATTTCCTTAGATTTGAGATACTTGTAATGAAGCTCATATAACTAATTCTGCATTGAAATGTTTTTGTATAAAGCCAAATTTTTTAACGTCAAATATTCTATATTTTCAGAATTAAATAAGGCGAATTAATAAAAAGGTAACGAAGGTCCCTTGGCTTCGCTGTAGTGAGTATTGTCACAGTCACACTAAGCAATTCTTTTGCACTGTGGAAAAAAAAAAAAAAAAAAAAAAAAAGACAGTTTGACATATTTTGTTCTACTGCGCCGATTGACGAAATTCAACTTGCGTTTTTCATGTCTCGAAAGCGCGACTTAGGATATGTATTAGATTTATATATAGCATTGTTCTAATAAAGATATTTTGGCACAAAATCGGACTTTTTCTGAAATGACATGCCATTTTTTTTACATATTTCCATTCTATGAATCAAATTACGCCAAACTACCAAATTTTGTAAAAATCGCACTAATAAATCGTAGTTTTAAAAATATTATCTCTCAAAATTTTAGCTCCTGAATGTTAATTGAATTTGGTATATATTTATTAATTTCCTATTTTTTATTAAATTTATCTGATTCTTTCTTTCGCATTTCGAAATTTAAGTTCATTCCAAATAAAATTCGTCCATTTTTTATGATTTATTTTTTTAATTTGAATTTTTAAATAATTATTTATAAATTTTTCGAAAAAAATATTGAATTATAACCTCTAAAAATTTTACCATCATCTTAAAGTAGATGATAGTAGATTTGTAAACATACCTGCAAAAAATTAGAGTTTTGTATTCAAAATTACCGAAGATGTACGTGAATTTATATATTGGCTCGTTTTGAAGTTTGACATATTTGTTGAAAGCGATAATAACATAAAATGGGGTTTAGGCACTTTGTTCAAATTATATGAAAGTAGGAACGATGTGCCTTTTTCCCGCTCATGCACGGTGTAAAAGGTAAGAACGCTATGACATTTTCTCTATTTCTGCACAATGGTAGGGAAGGAAAATTGGTTGCTATATATTAAAAAGTTCGCCAAGTAAATTATTCTTGGCGCAAACTGAAAAAAAAATGCACCAAGATAAATGTTTGAATGTCAACGTAAATTTCGCACCAAATTTAACAAAATTTAATATCTAGGCATGATTTAAGTCGTAGAATCGAAATATAGGTAAAACATTGGTATGTTATTTCAGAAAAAGTCCGATTTCGTGTCAAAATACCTATGCTACAAGAATGCTATATATAAATATAATATATATCCTATGTCGCGCTTTCGAAACATAAAAAACTTAATTTGAATTTCTTCAATGAGCCCAGTAGAAAGGGAGATCTAAAACTGTCATTCTTCTTTTTTTTTTTTTTTTTTTTTTCCCCGCCTGTGTGCGTTACGAAACATATAATGACTCGACACGAGAGTGATGGGTGCATTTTATACCCGCTATTTTTTTAGATTTGAAATACTTAAAAATTTCATACCTAATTATTCATTGATATTTTTTTAGTATAAAGACGATTTACTTTTAGTATCAAATATTATGTTTTGTCGGAATTAAATAATAAGAGAGAATAGCATAGCAGGAAGACGAAAATTAACTACTAACGAGAATCAAATGAATACTACATAAAGATGCTGTGATAATCTAGCCTTAAAAACACATTATCTACCAACGCTAGTAAATTAACTCTAAGCGTGGTTTATGTTGTAAAAGTAAATGTTTCTTGCTTTAAACGAGTATTGTTGTTGCTACATATGGCGATATTGGAAAGCTCAATCCGAACACATAAAATAGCTCAAGTATCGCACAAGAACAATGATATATACTTGGAAAAAGAACAAACAGTTTATGTAAGAATCAGAATAAATGAACTAGGGAACAAAAGTAAAAAGTTAGAAAAGGAGTAATAGTGCTTATATTCTTAACGCACTCTGAATGAAAAAACATTGCAAAAATAAAACGGAGGGAAAATCTCTAAGAATCCCTAAATTTTGGAGGTACATTTCCGAATGTAGAGACCGGAAGAAATCATTATTTCAAATTAGTTCCGCTGTTGTAAAGTTCAGTGTTCTGTACCATCAACAGACACAACATCCAATAAGCTAGATGACAATGGAAAATTTCCAATCAGTCACTGAATTACTAATCAGTCAACAATGAAAACAAGTGGATTCGCTATGCAATATTATAATTTTCTTATTATTAGTCCAAAGTGGCTTTGTTCCTGAAGGATTATTATTTTCGTTTTGGGATTTTGTGTTGGATCACTGTAAATGTCCGCTTCACTTTTCAAACTGTTGCTACCAAATGTTAGAGTCCTGCATTATATTTGATGAAATTAAATAATGAAACATCTGCATAAATGTATGTATATTTCTCGAATTGTGATAAAACAATGGTACATAGAGCCGTCGAATTTTGAATGACGTAATCCTCCTACGAGTATGAGCATGCGGAAGACCAAATTTGAAATTTGTAATTTGTTTTATTATCAATTTCATATTTTGTAAAACTTTAACGAATTTTTGATTAACAAACTCAAGGATTTCAAAGCGAGCAATGGCAACACTCTACAAAGGAGAAAAAAAAAAGTTTTATCGCCAGCGCGCGGAACCGTGTATCAGAAATTCTAAAGATAGGCTCATTTTAAAATTATGTTGCGACATTGTTATTGAACTGAATTTTATGGTTTAAGTGAGAAGAACGTGATATTTAATAAATAAAGGTAACAGAAAAAATGTTATAAAACGCCCCTTTGGAAGTAATTTAAAGTCTGAAATATTTCAGAATTATTTTTTTAAAATTATTATTTGATAATCGACGACGAAGGTATGCCGAGATTTAATACGTTACAATAAATATTTTTCCCGCAATGAACTTTTCTAACACCTTTATGTTTTCAAGTACTGTAGATATACCAAACAATCTCACTGCAGGTAGAGAATAAATGTAATATATATATATATATATATATATATGAAATGTTTCAGCTTCATTTATATATATATATATGAAATGTTTCAGCTTCATTTTATTCCAAATATAAAAAAAGAATTGTTATTTTTTTTTTAAATTTCGTTTTTCCTTACAATAACTTTTTATATATCAAAATAATTCGAAGCACTCATAATAATGCGCACAGTTAAAATTCACAAAAGCAAAGAAAAGAGGGCAAATTGCTTTTCATTTTGAAATATTACGTAAAATAGCTTTATAAATAACCTCGATTATTTGAGTACATTATCTGACTTTGTCTTATAAAAAAATGTTAAATAATTAATTTTAGCGTTTCTCGAAAAGCAAATTCCAATTTATCAGATAATTTTAGTTCAACTATTTTTTTAAAAATTCGATCAACTGAGTTTAGATATTGATTTTTACTAATTTTGTCAACGGAAGACTTCATTAGCCTAAGCAAATATTTTTACACTCAAATAATCAAAATTATAGGATAATGCCATAATATCAATTCATTTTTTAAATAAAATTCTTTATCTTTACAGCCTGCCTCCAAGTGAGTTCTGGGGTAAACGCCATTTTTGGTCCTCAAGACCCTCTCCTTGGCAGTCACGTTCAGTCCCTTTGCGACGCCTTGGACATCCCTCATATCGAATCTCGTGTGGATATGGAACCTGAGATGAAAGAATTCTCCATAAATCTGCACCCTAGCCCGAGGATAGTGGGATCAGCAATCCGAGATCTCATCCATTACCTCAACTGGACCAAAGTGGCCATTATATATGAAGACGATATGTGTGAGTATGTTTGATAGTGGTTACTAGAGGAGCATCGGTGTTCCTTTACAGTTATATGTCATCAACAAGACACATCCGTTAAGATAAGATCTTATTACACCCCCAGTGGCAATAATATTGGAACCAGAGAGATAAGACTATTTATTTTCTTGGCAGCTTCCTGTCATCTTCTGATAGCCTCCAATGATATCCATGTTTTCCATATTTGAAATGTTTAAAAACCCTATTTTTATTTATTTATTTATTGTATTGTTAGTTTCTAGGATTACATTTAGCCTGTTTTTTATATTTCCAATTAAAATATAATATTAAAAGAAAAGATATGGTTAAATGCAATGAAAAGTATATGAGCTCGCTTTATTCCAAGATGCTTATGGATTTGTTTTTCACGATGTTATTTCGGAGGCGGGAATATGAAATTTATTGGCAGTTCTGTACATTATTTTATCAGTTTGCAGTTACCTTGTAGAGACATTAGGATTTTTTTGAAAGCAGAGAAGATGAAAAATTAGCAAACGCCTTCGCCGAGAATGGAACCACGGACCTCTGGAATACCGGCCCAGAGTGCAGAAACGATACACCACGAAGGCCCGCTAGGCAAAGTGGGAGAAATACCTTATATACTCCCCTTTTTAAAGGACGACTGCGGTTTTTAGGGAAACCAGTCGCCGCATCCTGGGTGTGGAGAGTCATCATCCACAAGCATTTTAGTTCGGGCACCACTGTAGAGACATTAGGATTTTTTTGGAAGCAGGCAAGATGAAGAATTAGCCTTCGCCGGGAATCAAACCACGGACCTCTGGAATACCTGCCCAGCGTGTAGAACCACTACACCACGAAGGCACGCTAGAAAAGTGGGAGAAATACCTTATAACCTGATATTGAAACTATTACCCTGAATATATTCCACGCAGGTCAATTATTTAAAATTTAGGAATTATAATAGAAAATCAATGCAATCATTTTATTTAAATTATATAAGAATTGTATTCCTTTTCCGCCCGCACCCAAAAGGTATGTTAAGAAAATTAAATTTTAGCTAACATCGCAGTTGAAAAATTTTACATAAATTCAGGGCATTTCAAAAAGTTATATTAAAATTCATTCACGTAAATTGAGATGGAAATAGATTTATTTTTTAGAAAAAGAATTCACAAAGTAGCACCACCTCATGCGGTGCTTCATATTTTTTAAACAAATCACATAGCTCAACCTTTCTATGTTATTTTAAAATTTAGTATACTATGACTTTTATAGATATATATTATAGATTTATGTATTATAGATTTATATATGACGAGATTTATGTATTATGTCTCCAAGTATTAAAATCAAATCTCCTTTAGAAAATGCTTCATTTTAGTGGATATTTCCCATTAATGAACGGTTTCTGAAGGTTGGCTACTGGCCCCTGAAGTAACAGTATGATGCACTCTTATTTAACGGATACTCCCTGATGACTGCGTGTTCTGAGATATCTCAGATATAAGGAATATATAAGGAATATCTCGCATATAAGGAATTTTACTGTGTAGCTTGATTTATATGGCTATAAAAGAAAGCATTCTGAAAACGTTATACTATTTTAGAAACATTCAACTCATGGTGTTAAAATGGTTCAAATTATATTTCAACCTTATTTTTTATAAATGTCGTAATTAAAATAACATGTCTGGAATAAAAATTTAAAAACCAATGTCCGTAGTAGCATTTTACAAACTCTCTTTAGATACTAATAACTTGTATTTGAAGAAACTGATTGAGACTTGCAAAGGATGCTATTACTGTTCATTTTGCTTCTATTTTTCAGCCTTAATTAGCTTGCAAGAGTTAATCCGACCTCCTGTTCCCAGAGATCTCCAAGTCATCTTCCGCAAAACTAGTCTAGATACATTCAGAGACACCTTGAAGGATATACGAAGCAGAGGTATATTTAGCCTCGTGGTGGACACCAAACCACAAAATCTGCCTCATCTTTTACAAGCGGTAAGTATTTTGGCATAAATAAATTGTATTAAAAGTGACATATGGTTCTGAAAAATATGTGTTTTGGAAATTAAAAATATAAGTGTCAGAAAGCTAACTTATGGTATGTATAACTAATCAAGAAGCCATCTATCACCGAATTTAATACTGATTTAACAATAAATGATATTAAAATTGGCATATGGTTCTGAAAAATTCTATGTATTTTTGAGTTTAAAAATATAAGTGTCAGAAAGGTAACTTCTGGTTATAACTAATCAAGAAGCCAGCTATCATAGCACAGGAATTTAGTACTGATTTCTCATAACCCACTATCTACTCTTTATATTGATAACTGTATGTTATATAGCATCGTTTAAGTCATCCAAGAAAATAAAAATTGAAAAGTCACTAAAATGAGGTATTTTACGTGCGAAAAAAATGCCAGTGCTACTCATGATAATGTACGTTTTTACGACATGATAAGTATGTGGGATTTTCTTTCACGAAAGTACTTTTTAAGAAAATGTTATTGATATTCAAAACTTGGGTTTCTTTAGTATGCTTACACCTTGAGTGGTAAACTGAAGGGGACTCCGAGGATGCGCAAGCACACCATTTGCCTGTAATTTTCTGGAAAATTTTTCTTGTTTTTTCTTTCCTAGAATTACACTAAGTCGCACTTATTGAGTCGAATACACTAAGTCACGCTTTCGAGACTTGAAAAACACAAGTTCAATTTCGTCAGTCACCCCAGCAGCACAGGAGATATAGAACTGTCGCATTTTTTTTTTTTTTCCAGAACGTACTTATAAAAAGGTAAAATATTTTTATTTACTTAAAAAAATACAAATGGTGCCTTTGTCATCAAATGGTCAGCAAAACAATTACATGTTTTCATTTCCCCTTCTCAGCTAAAATCTTTTTCTATTTCAACTGAAAAATGATAATACAATTAGTTCTTATTTACCGAGGCCCTAATCACGAATGAAAAATAGGAAGTCATAAAAAGTTGACTAGTTCTTATTACTTAATGAATATTTCATTACATAGCTCACTTTTTTCATTTAAAGTAATTTAATAACTTCTTGAATATAAATACTGCCACCTACTTAGATTATCGTATTTCCCCACAAAGGCTTTAGCTCCATTATCAAAAAATATAAAAAAAATAGTAGCGTAATTTTCAATTTTTTCAGTTCATTCAGAGCTCCCCTAAATTTAAAATAAATTCGTCCATATAATGATTGTTTCCGTCTTAAAGATAAAACGTAATTACCTGTGTAAGTCATGCCGAAACTTCCCCTTCTAAATATTGAAATTTTTACCTACCTAATGAAAAAACCGACCCATCGCGGCGAAGCAAACAGAAATTGACATTCAGTTTTATAATTTCGCTTGATTAGCAATCAGCTGAGTCGAATGATTTGAGGCCTAAGGAATAGCAGAGACAACAATAATATAAGTTCCACAGAATCAAATTCCAGAGAAGCAGGAATGAAGATGCATAATTGAGTATTGGAATGTTAATATTACTAGGTATTTTTATTGGAATTTATGTTTCTTTTAAAGAAATAATTTTCTGATTTTAATGTATAGTTTATCGATTGTTGCTTTTAATTTTTATGCTTTTGGAGGATAAAATTTGTTATATAAGGAGATGAATACTAAGATATGATGTATGTAATAATTTAATTAGTGAAAACTTTAAAAGACGTCAATAAATTAACAATAGAAGCTTATTTAAAAAAGCAAGTGATTAGGATAAATTGAAGCATCAGAAAACTAATTTCTCAACTTTGTAATTCTGCTGCTTAAGAACTTTGTATTTGTGTTTATTATTTTCAATAACCTGGCAGAACATTTAAATTAATCATATTATATTAAAATTAATTTCGAATTGCTATAATGCTCTGATGCTTTTTTCTGTTTTCGATACTGAAAGAAAATTCCTGCCATTAACATAAATCAAGGCACGTTTTTAAATTACTTGACAAGTGAGGTAGTTGCAGAACTTGAACTAAAAAGAATACGGAAAAAGTTTCGAAATCAATCTAAGGCGGTCCGTTAAGTAAAGAGCAAACACAGCGGAATTCAATCAATGGGAAACCCGTGTTCTTCTTAAGAAACAGAGGAAAGTACACGGAAAGGCTAATCTTAAGTAATTAGCTCACAAATTACATCACATCTAATTAAGGAAGCTTCCAACCCGTTAATGCCGGATGAGTTTAACTTGGCTGATGTGGAGTGAACTGCTTCTGACAATAAGAGCAAGTCCGTTTAGATTACTCCCATTTCCGTCGGAACCAAATATCCTCTTTGACCAGAATTAATTCGATTTTATATGAAATAAGATAGCAATCGTAATTTCACTCTGTAAATGTGAACGTATAAATTCTTTTACTTCAAAGGTAAAGATTTTCTTGATTTATTTTCAAACTTCTGTGTTTAGCAACATATTTGTAAGCGTGTAACTATTATATTTTGCTAAAGATTTTTCAGTTCTGTGAATTTTATGTACATATATACCTTTTGCAGAAGATTAAAAAATTGTCAAGACTTAATAAATAAAATAATAAAAATTATGTTTTCCCTGAATGGCAACATCAAAATGATATTCTAAATGCTTGCATATATATATTTATATAAGATGGATATTTAACTTGGAGTGACTTGTATTTCTATGTCTTTTAGAAATTCAAATAAAAATGTTAGCTTTATCAGAAAGGAAATTTTTACATTTTAAGAACAGAGGTTTTGATTAAGAAACTAAAAGAAAAAATTATTAACTGATATTTTAGAAAGAGCGGAATTTAAGCTTTGACTAAGAAACGAAACAAGAAAATTTACAATAAGCTTTGCCAAATTAGTCTCTGCGTAACATTATTTAAATATTAATAAATATTTGTTTTTTTAAAAAACGTAATGTACACAAACAAAAAAGCAACTGTACTTTATGCAACTAACAGACTGAAAGATGGAAACAAAATTATAAAAGGAATATATACTTTTCCTACAGGTAAACTAAAGATTCCAAGATCATCAATCTTAAATTGTATGAAGAACACTTGTTATGTTTTGTTAAACATTTATCGTTCAAAACTATGAAAAATTAGAGACCACTAATTCTGTAGCGGTTTTTGTCGCATTTTATAGAATATTTAGAAAAGAACGTTTTACTCTCACAATTATAAACATATATGATGAACAGGAGCAGCATGCAATTAATTTTAGATAAAGGTCATTAAAAGTCCGTTTACATGAGGAAACAGAGCTGCTGAACAACACTATAAAGTATCCTTCACAAAGCTCCGCCTACTATCTTTTGACTACACAAAGGGATTTTGTCAATAAAAGGCTCGTCTATACGAGGATATATCACTAAACAAGTATCTCTAAATTCGTGTACATATCCAACTAAACGAGAAAATATATTGTTGGGTTATCTTCTTTTCTGACACCAGTTGTTATGTTATTTTCTGACACCAGTTGTTACTTTCGTACGGGGTTCGTAGATTTGGAGTAAATAACGACATGAAGTATCGTATGATAAAGTATCGAAACACACTTTATTTACCAATATTAATGAGATAGCTCCAAAATCACTTTTACAGTCGTCGAACTCAACACGCTCTCTCGACTATGCACTAACCGCGATACACTAAGAGACTCCTTCGGTGAACTCGACGACCCACTCGGCACTCGTTGCCCGGCGTCAACTCGATCGACTCCGCAGGGATTGACTCGCTAGACGAGACACCAACTCGATACTGACTAGACGAGGCACAATCCCTCGCCCTCTCGATGAAGCACACTCTGAGACACTAACTGACTGCTGACCAGCAGGGTTTATATAGCTTTCGGCTTGCGTTCGAGAACATTGTGGGCTAAACCGGTAAGAATTCGTTCCAGAAGGTTCTCCATCCGTCCATGGTATATCGCCAATTTTGTCGTCAAATGTCGCTAAATGGGCGATTTCTCGCCAAATGTGGCAACCCTGCCATCCCTTTCCATTTTATGCCAACCATAAAACTGCTTTGCGGGGGAAGCCATCTTACCGCGCCTTTACATTTCGTAACAATATCATCACAACTGAAATGCATTACGCTAGGAGACATTCTCATTGACCATGACATGATACAATGTTGTTTGTGACTTAAAGCAATGGTAGCTGTTGAATCATCATTGTCTGGCTGAATAACATATGCCGCGAATTGTTTGAGTTTTTATTACTCAAACAAACGTAATTTATGAAGCGATATTTATTTCGGATCATAATTTCCAACGCTTTCCTTTATAAATGAAAGAATATTTCATTCGCTTTCATACAAGCGATCTCGTAGTGTTAGATCTCTAGAGAAAGTTTTTTTTTTTTTTTTTTTTTTTTTACCTTATTTGCAATTATTAACTAAATCTGTTAAAATACCTTTTCCTGCTGAATATAATGAATATATTCTTATGCTCTGAGAAGTCTAACAAGCAAGAAATGCTCAGTTTATTATCTGTTTGGATTTGATTGCATTTCTGACCAATTTTCTATTGTTAGTGACTTTTCAAAGATTACACTACATTTACAACGACTATATTTCCTGTAAAATAATTAGAATTATTATGGAAAGAATTTGAAGAAAAATATAAAGATTTTAATAGAGTCTAATTTTACATTATTTTCATTACCAAAATTATTTCGGAACTGTAAGTAACACTCCAGAAAATCCAGAATTGGAACTAATTAATTTTGAGTGCGATGCAAATCGTATTCAAAAATTTAAAGATATAAATTTCGCTAAATTTATTAGTAATTGTGAAGACATAAATACCGTGACAGTTACGAATTTGCATTAATAGCTTTGCAGTATATTCACAAGTAAACAGTTAATTTTTAATAGTTGAATATTGATAATTCTAATTACCGATTAGTATGTACGATTTGCGACGGACATATTTTCTACTAACTTTGTTCCAAGATTGCAAATTTTATGAAAATCGAAATTTTATGAGGTTGTTATAGGTGAAATGAT